GTAATTTATTACATGGAATAGTATATAGTCTTTTACTTTTTTACATTTTTATGGGTTTACACGCCTAATCGTATTCGTATGTTAGCTACATCAGAATGCGGAAACAGAGGTTTAGCTAATCATCTGTATGTTTAACATGCTTCAAATGACAAAATACTCAAATCTACAACTTCAAACAAAGAAAGGCGCGCAATATATAATATTACATGGTCATCACACCTCAAACATTCTCTCATCTCATGTGAATGAATACACTGATTGTGAAAGCTCGATCTACTAATACCTCCCAAAAAAGGAAGTTTTAGAAGGGGGGAAGAAATGAACAAGTTGAATTAATAATTAGTTAACGGTGACTTTGCCGACCATGCCGGCTCCCTGGTGAGGAGCACAGTAGAAAGCATAGTCACCTTTCTCAGTCAAGGTGATGGCGTATGTCTCCCCTGGGGCATTGAGGAGGTCCTCCTCGCTCATGGAGATCTTTCCAGCATCCACACCGCTGGGAATCCCGTCCTCGTCGAACACAATGTTGTGTGGGAATCCAGCATTGTTCTTGAACACAATCTTCTCTCCTGGGCTGACTGAGAAGCTGTTGGGGACGAAAGCCAAGGAACCGTCATCGCCGCCGAGCAACACCTCAACGGCCAAGGCATTGCTTGCCAAGATTGCACTTGCTGCAGTGGCTGCTACGGCCACGCCCACATCCTTAAGTGAGGACTTGATGGCACACATCCTCGGGGAGGTTGCAACCTTAACGGCGGCGCTGCTCACCTTGGATGCACCGGCGGACTTGAGGCCGGTGAATGATGGGATTGCAACGGCGGCGGGGGTGACAGTGGCCATTGTAATTGGGATAGTTGAAATGGAAATAATGTGTTCTAGCAAGCAGGTCGCCTTGAGTGTTGAAACTTGAAGGGGATGATCAAAAGGAGAAGATAGGAAGGGTGTGTTTTAATAGAGGGGGTGCGAGGGTTGGATTGCTTTGCTTATCTTATGTGTGGTTTGTGTTGGTTCGTTCGTGGATGGACAATAGGGGTAGGTGATTGGATAATAAGCTCTGAATGAGTGGCAGTGGGGATGAGGTAGAGACAAGGGTTATCTCTTATGCTGGTGAGGATGGGTCTTATTGGTTGGCTGAGATGCTATCCTCTGACGTGGCTTTGGATTTAGTGGCGTGAGGTGGAGAGTGCGATCTAGTGCTAGAGGTTACATGGCATGTCAAAATGGTGGGGAAAAAAAAGGGATAAGTTTTGCAGTAGTAGGAGGAGGAGGACAAACTATCATCTTTCTACGGTGAGGCTTATTATCTATTAATTGTTGAATCAAATTGATTAGTCTAATACAACGGTTAAGAGATAGAACCTCACCTAAAGAACAAATACATACGAGTGGACTATTTCGCAGGTGGGTTAATTTGTTTGATTTATTTATGGGCTTTGGAGCATAAGTCTGTTGGCGAAATACGGACAACAAATTTAAAGCCTGCGCTTAAACTCGACACACAGATGGGTGTATGTATTCAAAGTTCAAACAAAGGGCGCATAGTCACAAAATTATAACTTATGAATGGTGAATGGTGAATGGTGAATGGCGTGAAGGAAGCTGAACTTGGTAGCTAGAGAACAGAGATGAATTGGTTGCGAGACAGAAATTAAAATCAGCCGACAGTATTATGTAGCAATAAATAAGTGCTATAGGAAAGGAGAAGGAGGGAGACCCACTTTTTTATTTATAAAAGATTGACCAACGCTCCCTACTCCCACATTTACTCTTGTAACTAATTTTTCTTTTTTTCTTGGAGCATCTGCAACGACAGAGATCAATACAATTTTAATACAACAATTAATGCATTATGTTGTTGTTAAGAACATATGCAATGGTTATTCAATAATTCAATGCAATACAAAAAAACATCAATTAAATTTTTTTTTTCTTCAAATATATTCAAATTTGGTCTCTTTTTAAAGATCTCTTTGAGAATAATACAATTGTACAATTTTTAGTCTTATTATATTTATCTCTTTTATTTTATTTGAGTATGTAAAAAAACGTGTAAGTAGATATAGCCATTGATTTGAAGCTATTAAATTGTACAATTGTAAGTAAAACTACTGTTCAATTCAATATAGATACCAAAAAAGATCAATTTATTGAACTATTGCATTGAATTATTAAATAACAACCATTGTAGATGCTCTCATCTGGTCACGGGAAGGCATGTTCCATTCACTATTCCTTCCCTATCCGATTGAGAGGAGAGAATCCTAACCTAATTTTTTATGCAGAATAAATACTCTCATTATTTACGTTAATGGGTGGGACGTTATACAGTGAACGTATTTAATAAATCACTTCTGCCAAGACGATAGTATCCAGTTGTAGTTAATACTCCAATTAAGGACACAACTCAGACTTTTTCATTTTTTTGGTCGGATTGAAACTTTCGTTAAACCCACAAAACAAACACACTGAATCTTCATGCAAAACATAGGAAGAATGATACATAGAAATCCTTCTCAACTAATAATTTCGCACCCAAGTGTGAAGTACTGTCACACACATGATCGGCTCTGTGCAAAGTAATATTAATGTGGTAGGTCGGTCGTAGAATCAATATCAAATGAATGAACTGTGCGCATTCTGAGTTGTGTACAGTTACAAGGATAATGCCCAAACTTCATTATTCAAAAGTCTTTTTTAGACAACCTCGACGGAACGAGGAAATTAAATAAAATTCCATTTTAATTATTTCGAAAAAGAAATATATTAAAACAAAAATCTGTTAAAAAACAGAAGGAAAAAAATAAAAAACAGAAACGGAAAGATATATAGGAGATGATGAGAAGAAATACTTACCACAGCAGGGGGAGGGTAGCTTGGTTGTAAAAAGCGCGGAGGAAGACGGACGTAGGCGTGAGAGAATGACATGAAAGAGCACTGAGATATTGGCACGGCTCAATCAAATTCAGAAGGGAATTCATCTTCTCTGAGTGAACCGGGCCAACATCGCAGTAACTATTTCAATCAACTGGAGCCAACATTACATTCTTATATATACGATATATGCATGCAGCCTGTGTTTTTCTTTCTTGTACGTACGTTGTATATATAAATATATATATATGTATGTATGTGCCTAGCAAATTAGCAATTAGCTAAACAAGAAAGAAAGACGAAGGAGAGTATGATTAAAAAGAGTGAGAAAAAGAGGGGAAGAAAGCTATAGCAGTGAGAAAAAATGGGAATGTCATGGATCAATATTTAAGGAAGGAGTGAGTAAAAGAGGGGCATTGCAGGGTGCTGGTGGTGCATTAAAAACACGTAGCTACCACCAAAACCCTTGGGCCAAGGACCATAGCATTGAATACATACCAGCCAACGCCCCAACCCCATAATATTCTCCGCTATCTCTCTCTCTCTCTCTCGCTAATATCGATCGGCAGAACTACAGGCAGGCCCTCTACCATTAATAAGGGAATCTCGAGTTGGGGTGCATGATTCCTCTCATTAACAAAGCAAAGGCAGAGGCAGAGGCAGAGGCAGAGGCAGAGGCACAGTCTTGGTCTGCAGAGGAAGCATTAATAAAAGGGGATCAAATTTATAACGCTTGCTCCCCCACACAAGTCACAAGTTCACAACTCACAAGGAGAGCCATGCATGTAGTAAATATATAACGCTTGCTCTCTGCATTTTAGTTACTACTCGTGGAAGGAATCTCATCTGTCATCACATTGACAACGACGACGACGATGTATATGCCATTTTTTGTCTGTTAATTGGTTTCTTTATTATACTAGTTGGTGAAATTCAGTTGAGTTGACTGGGTCAACATAGATGGGATGATGAATCACCGTTGACCGAGTCATCCAAAGTTTTTTTTATTTTATTTTTTCCCTTAATGAACGGTACGGCCCAACTTGAAAGAAGAAACTAGCCCAACATTTTGTTTAAGGTAAGGTAGGCCCAATGTATGTTTCCTTTGTTTTGTTTTAAACATCGGGTGCAGTACTGTATATATATTAGCCCACTTTATATTATAATAAAATGTGCCATTTGAGAAATTACAGAAAATTAGATTATAATATTAATAGTAATGAATGGGTCTTATAGTTATCCAAAATTCAATCCAATATGCAATTGTTTGGAGTCTGGAGACATATAATGTACATTTGAAGCGCAAAAGCTTGGGTGTTGCCTCAGTTTCAGTGGCAGTGGCAGTGGTCATCATATATATATATATATATATATATATATTCTCTCTCCCTCTCTCCCATTAATCCTTTCATTCCTATAATATTTTATAGTCATTAACAAACAGGATAGGATAAAATCATACATACACACGCGGGGGACAAGACAACATGCTGCATGTATATGTATGTCTTCCATTATTATTATTTAATCGGGAAAACATGTCTTTTTTTTCGTTTTTCCTCCCAAACTTGCCTACACACATGAATATTCACAAGTCAACAATGCATCATACATATATAATATATATATATATACACACATGGATGGTGTTACGTATAAAAATAGTTGATTACAAAAATGAACAGGGCAACTGCATTCAGTTCAAAGAAGATTCGAACCATGGGCATTTTTGGTATCCAAATAGGCGATTGGGTCAGATTCCACAAACATACATTATATATAATATAGGTGATGGATTAAAAACAAATGAGATAATCCAGCACACAGCTGATTGGGTAGGAGGGGAGAGGCGGGTCCCCGTGGTGATGCGATCAACGAATTAATAAGTTGGAGGATGAATATTTAATTTATATACAACACATAATTTAGTTGTTAATGGATTATCGTTAAATTTGTTTAATGGACGAATCCAATCAGGATAATAGCAGCAGGCAGTGATTCGGTGAGTGGTGATATAAGCAAAGCAAAGCAGGGAAAAGCTAGAAGAATGCACGTCAACATCAACGCAAACTTGTGGGGGTGCGCATTACGCCCCTCTCTCTCTCTCTCCTCTCTCTCTCTCTCTCTCTCTCTCTCTCTCTCTCTCTCTCTCTCTCTTTTTCTCTCTCTTAATCTCTATTAATTTCTATTAAGAGAAGAGAATCACATAGACGGACAAACAGACGGTGAAGTGAAGAGGAGAAATGGGCTAAATCTCAAAATCGGTAGCCATTTCTATTTCTTTTCGTACACGTAAGGACGCTCAATAATCCACTGTCGTTTCGTTCCTCTAGTGTACAAGTATTAACCAGGTCCAGGGACCAACAAGGTTTGCTTGCTTAATCGGATTCGGAAACGCACCGTTTGGACTTTGATCATACTCTTTATGTGCGTGCTAGCTCTGGATGGTGGGTGAATCATGGAAGACACCGAGAGTTGCTGTAGCAGGCCCGTCGATTTCTCCCCCACTCTCACCCGAAAGCAGAAGCTCAAAGTCAATATCTACAATGAAGTTCTCCGTCGACTTATGAGCTCAGATGTCGCAGACGCCAAAGTTGCTGGTTTCGAAGATGAACTCTGGGCTCATTTTAATCGCCTCCCCACTAGGTACGTACCTCCGAACCCTGGCCTGCTCTCTCTCTGTCTCTCTCTGTATTTATGTATGTATGTAATCGGTGGATGGAATTTCAAGTGCCTACTTACTATCGCGTTTATTATTTAATTTCAAGTGCCTACTTTCTCTCGCGTTTATTTTTTTCTTTCTCTCTCTCTCTCTCTCTCTCTCTCTCTCTCTCTCTCTCTCTCTCTGTGTATTTATGTATGTATGTAATCGGTGGATGGAATTTCAAGTGCCTACTTACTCTCGCGTTTATTATTTACTTTCAATTTGTTTCTTGGTAACGGGTCATGCCTCCTTTTTAATTCCCGTGTTTGTTTTTGTTGCATATTCCTTGCTGACTCTGCTTCATCAGAATCTTTGATTCTTTTTTATTCTCTGTAAAAATAGATAGATAAAATAAAATATGTCACCTTCGTCACACGACTTTAGTAAAATTAAAAGTCTTTTGAATTGTGCAGCCGGAATCTTTGAATTTATATTACACTCCCTATAAATAAATTCGTCCTCTTTCTCTGAGAATGTGTTCTTCTTCATGCTCCATGGGGATGGATGGATTTAAGTTGGCCACAGATTGATTGCTGAGAAAGAGAAAGCCAAAGGTTAAAGGGCAGTGAAAGATACGTTTATTATTATTATTTTGCTCTGTATGTGGACTGCACCGACCCACCTATCCACCCATGACCCACCCACCCACTCAAATACATTATATAGGATAGGTGTCCAAAATTGGTATAATTCGATAATATGTATATATTTTGCTTATGACTCAAAATGGGAAAGTTGTTTCCCTTTGACAATCTTTCTTGTCTTGATCGAAACCAGACTAGTATTACAGAATGGCTTCTTTTGGACTGAAACTGATGTAGTACAGCCCGTAGGTATTGGATTAAGCCCTCAAACAATAGAGTAGAAAAGAATTTAAGAGACCGAGGAGAAGAAATAGAGATAAAAAAGACGAGATAAAAGACAGAAACAGTAGAACAAAGAAGAATATCGGAGGTCGAGGAGACGAAAATATAGATCGAAGGGACGAAAGAAAGGACCGAAATTAGAGAACCGAGAAGGAAGAACAGAAATCACATAGTTTTAAGAGAAGGTTTACTCAATATCCAAATCTGAATTTTAAAGAACTACATAGGGGTATTTATAGCAAACTAAAACCTAGACAAAATAGGATAAAAATCCCTTGCTTAAACAGAAATCATAACCCAAATAAAATAGAAAACTTAAAACTAGAAATCTGGAAATCTGGAAAAGTAAAAATCCTACTAAAATTTGGAAAACTATAGAATCTAGGAAACTAACAAATGCATTAGGAAACTAATAAATTTAGGTCCTACGCATCCTACATCAGAAACTCTGTCTTTTTTTCCTTTTTGGGTTCTACATGACTTAATGTTGGCTCCGATTTGATGAAATGAGTGCTAGTACATTTACATTAATATGCATTATAAGCTCCGATTTGAACGGTTGCTTGCACTGCGTAATTACATTTGTTGACCTGATTATCTCTTTGAATTGAAGGTATGCGTTGGATGTGAATGTGGAGAGGGCACAAGATGTTCTCATGCATAAAAGGTTACTCCTTATGGCACATGACCCTGCCACTAGACCTGCAGTTGAAGTCCGTCTTGTGCAGGTAATTTATACACAAACATACAAATGTATGGAAACAGTTGAATTTTTTTATTTATACTCAAATTCAGTTATTTTCCTATAATGGTCTGGGGGTTTCTCTTTTTGTATCGATACAACTCTGTTCTGTGTTGTTTGATTCGTCTTAATTAGTTGTTCGGCCATCTGTCCTGTCCACTTATTGCTTTCTTAATGCATCTGTGCAATTTATCTCTTATGCAGGTTCATTCTGCTTCTGGTTCAAACTTATCGAGGAAAGCGGATGCTCAATGTTCTGCTTATGCTAGCAAACAGAGGCATGGTTAAATGATTATCTATCTGGATTTGTTTTCTTTATTGAAAACAATTGCACTTTATATCTCTCATATGCTACCCTCTTTGCATTTCTCATATATCCAGCCATCCACCACCAGCTTTTGGTTTGTCACCAGACCTTGAACTTGCTCTTGAAGCCGAGCAGTTACACGTTCACCATGGGAATAACGCTGTGAGCACCAGTCAACTTTATACAAGGTAAGTAGGTTTCAAATACATCTTTTATGATTTTGATCTTTTGTCTCTAGTTCTGTATTTATTTTCATTAAAACGCTTAATCAACTGTTCATGTTAGTAGGTTCGATTTCATGGTTTCATATCTAATTAATTTTGCTATAATTTTCCATTGTACTTATCTAATTAACTTTGCATATACTTCAAAATTTGTAGGCCAATGCATGAAATTACTATTTCAACTAATGACAAGCCCAAACTCCTCAGTGAGGTATTCTTTTTTCCATTTTTTAAAAAACTGCTGTCTAAAATAGCTATTTTGCCATGTCAATCAATATAATGTGGTTTTTAATTGACATCATCTTTCTTGATAACTCTTAATGACGTACTATTGTTAATATTTTAAGCTTATCTCAAGGATTTATATATATATATATATTTTTTTTGGCATAGAATGTGTGTTGCATATTCTCTTAGAAAAGAGATACGTTTTGCATAGTACACGATTCACTTATAGTTTTGACATAAGAAAGGCATCTAACTTCATATTTGAAATTCCGACAAATGGTGAGGTTGAAATGCACGTGTTTTACGATGCTTATGATATAATGGTATGGAGCTAGAAAATAGTCAGGGGGGGCCATATATTCTATACAGGAAATTTGAGGGGGCCTGGTTCGCCCTCCCTCTACCCAGTATTGTTATGCTTAAAGACTTCCTCAAAGTGTATGGTCACCCTGATTCTTGACCTTTTCAGTGGGTCTGGAAGGCTTGTGACTGTCTTGAATGCTTTGACCCTGCATATTAAACCCACTATGGCTATCAATGGGACGAAACCTGTTTGGTCAGTTTTGGTGGGTGATTTGTTGAGATTGAAGTGAATGGTGGACGAACACTACTTGATAAAGAAAAACGAAAAGAAAAGAACTGGCTGTATCACTAGAGGTTGATCTATTCTCTATTTTATTTGGCACTCCTCCTCCGTCCTCTTCTAAATCTTGTGTCATACCATACATTAGCTTCAAGGGGGTCTCATCTTTATATTTTTCGTAAGACTTGGTTGTTGCAGAATTACTAGTTCAGATACATACTATGTCGTCTCTTGTATCGCTACTTGACTCAGACTTTCATATGTAGCATATCAGTTTAATCAGCAGTAGATAAATTTGATATTTGTCTGCAGATTGTTTAAATTTTGGAGATGTTATCTGTAATAGTATTATAGGTATTTCTTTTAGAACAAGGATATTTTGTGTATTTAATCATTGTTTCTCATTACTGTTACAATCTTATGTTTTGCATCAGTTGACATCCTTATTATCTGATATTGGACTGAACATTCGAGAAGCACATGCTTTTTCCACAACAGATGGCTACTCTTTGGATGTCTTTGTTGTTGATGGTTGGGCATGTGAGGTATTGTCTTGCCTTGTTCGTATTCTGGTACAAAACTATAATGGGTCGCTTTGCTTAAGGGGAAATATCTAATTGTAGTATGAGATGGGTTATTTTTATTTCAATGTTGCAGAAAACTGAGCGGCTTAGACATGCACTGGCCAAAGAAATACCATGGAGTGAGGTAGGTCCCTTTTAATGCTTACTTTTTATTATTTATTTTTAAATTTCTCTCACTGATACAATTTTCAAACATATGTTTACTTTTACGAGGGAGAGAATTTTTCTTTCCTCATTTTTATTTATTGGCTTCTTGTTGTGCTCATCCTTCAGGAAGTTCATATAAAACCTAGAAACAAATTTGTTTTATTTTGGGGTTTTCTTTTCTGGCTTTTAACTGAGGTTCCAGCGTCGAATGTTCACTTCCATTAACTTAATTGTAGTTTAATTTAAAACTATGTACTTTATAGCTCTGCCATCTAGTCCAATGCAGCATCGGTAACTATTTCCATATTGTCATGAAAGGTTAATGAAACTATTGTGTTCTGATAAGTTTAAGCATTATGCTTTAGCTAACAATTTGGTTATGGAGACAAGTTTCATGACTGCCATCTTAAGGGGCCAGAAAAGCAAAAGCAAAAAGTTATCTTTCCATCTTGCCTTTCAAGAATTTGGCTCACGAGATATGGTCCTAAGATTTGTGATTTAGCTGTGGAAAATGCTCATTTATGTTACTATGGTAGCACTCACCAGTCTATAAGGACTTATTTTTGTTTTTGTCTCAAGGTGAGAAATGTATTCTAGTAAGTTTAATGCCTTCAGTTTTGCTTAGTATATTTTGATGTTTCTGTCTATGCCTTGGCTGGTTCTTGTTTTCATGTTCAGCATTTTCCCTGGTGATTATGTATTTCCAAGATCTAGGTAGTTATTGCGTGTCTTCTTTTATTGTTTTTATTTTCTATATACCAAATACCAATGCATATGAAATGAGTGTTGCTAATACTTGTAAACATGCACAATATCTGCAGTCTCATTATTTTGTCTGTGTTGCAGAAGAATCCTTGCTTGGATTATAATGTTATTTCCCCTATTCCAGAGCAAGAGACTGGAATGATTTTTACTAATGGTCATGTAAGCTCACTCAATAAGGAAAAAGATATATGGGAAATTGATGCAACCCTGTTGAGATATGAAAAGAAAATTGCATCTGGATCGTATGGTGATCTGTAAGTCCTGTCATAATTTTAGGGCATGTTTACTTGGTATATGAGTACTTGTTAATAGCTAAGTTGATTGACCCAGGTTTCGAGGTAGTTTCTGTGGTCAAGCTGTGGCTATTAAAGTTCTTAGTATGGAGCACCTGAATGAAACTATGAGGGAGTTTACTCAAGAAGTCTATATCATGAGGTCGGTAATACATTTACTCTTTAAACACTGGGCAAATATGCATCCTTTGTGATCTTTATGGCCGAAAGGCCGCTCTCAGCAGCCTGTTTCATCCATTTGATCTTGCAGTTCTCAAACTTGTATCATCCTTGCAGAAAAGTTCGGCACAAAAATGTTGTTCAATTAATTGGAGCATGCACTAAACCTCCTATGCTTTGCATCGTTACTGGTAATTTCAAATGACTTCTGTGCACATTCTGTGCCATGCTTTGTATTTGATGTATTTGATGTATTTGTATTTGTTTATTACGGTTCAATCCAAGTTCTGCTCTTTTATATTTCTTTTCCCTTCTCAGAGTTTCTGTCTGGTGGAAGTATGTACGACTTTGTGCATAAGCAAACGGGTGCTTTATCACTTCAGTCCTTGCTCAGAGTAGCAATTGATGTTTCCAGGGGAATGAACTACTTGCACCAAAATAATATAATCCATAGGGACTTGAAAGCTGCTAATCTTTTGATGGATGACAATGGGGTAAGATCCTTTGTATCTCTTAATTATGTAATGTAATCAGGTTTTCTTGTTACACCCGAAAGAAAAAGGAGAGAAGGTTAAATCTAATCACCTCTGACCAAATTGGAATGAGGCAAGCAATCTCATTATGTCAGGGCATTGCATCATTAAACTTTCATAACCTTGCATAAGCAAAGGGATGCTTTATTATTGCAATTGTATTAGTTGTCCCTTCTTTTTGAATAGCTCGCCTTTATCCTTTAAATTTATATACTTTTATTTATTATACTTTTCTCAAAATTAAAGGGAGGCATGGGCAGGCGTGTGCATTCTTGTCCTTGTTTCATATTGCTCCTTCTTGATAGGAGGTTATCAGGTTCTTCCAAGGCTGTACATAGTTTTAACATGGCGATCTGAATTTCATCAATTTTTTTTTTAAAGTTCAAAATACTTGTTTGACAGGTTGTGAAAGTTGCTGATTTCGGCATCGCTAGAGTACAGGCACAATCTGGCGTTATGACTGCAGAAACTGGCACTTATCGTTGGATGGCTCCAGAGGTCTGTGTTCTGTAGTTATTTATTCACGGGTATTAAGTATTAACCATTTCATTTGCGTATTGGAATTAAGCAAATGGACAACAAATTCCTGGCCAGATAACGTTTGGTTCTTTAAATCTTGCATACGTTAGTCATTAAGGAAATTATTGTACCTGAATATTACCCGTGAAGATGTTTTACAAGGAAGGAACTACAACAAATTATCATATTGTGTATTTATTATGGTTATGGAAGAATTTATTGATCACACTAGTAGCTTGATGAATTTCTTGGCTTTTGATGATGGTTATTATGTCTATGCTTATTCCTGTCTAGTGTCTAACACATGATTGCTTGGTGTTGATGAAGGTTATAGAGCATAAACCGTATGATCACAAAGCTGATGTGTTTAGCTTTGGAGTTGTTCTCTGGGAGCTGCTTACAGGAAAGGTAATCTCTTTTATACTAGAAAATAGATGGGTGGATTTTTCTTCTCCTGAAGAAAAATGCTACGTTCAAATCAATGCTTTTGTTTATCTTTAAAACTAGTTCATGGTTGCACAGACTTCACACCATCATCTGTCTATGTTTTGTGACTGAAATGTCAGCTTCCCTATGAGAACTTAACTCCGTTACAAGCAGCAGTTGGCGTAGTCCAGAAGGTATTTCTTTTACTTTCCCAGCAATATAAGCCTGCCTTAATATTTTTCTATCTTATTTATTCCTGATGGGAGTTCATATCCAGGATCCCTGAGTTTTTTGAAAATGGCTTCAGGTAGGTGATCCCAATTAGTGGAGTTGACTTTCCTTTTCCTGATGAGAAGTTGTCCTACCTATTAAGTAGCTGGTAGCCTGGTAAAAGTTGTTTGCCATGAAAGATAAGCTAGCTATGTGTAAAATAGGGGTATTATCTGAAGATCCGAATGATTTAGTAATGCCCAACCATGCGAGCGAGCTGGGCATACATGCCTTGATAACTTTTAATGAATAAGGTCTCAAAACTAGAAGTGAAGTCTATTAATTGAGTGCTGTTGGGGCATGAATTTCAGGGTCTGAGGCCTACAATTCCAAGTCACACTAATCCAATGTTGATGGAATTGATGGAGAGATGCTGGCAGCAAGAGCCATCGTTGAGACCTGAATTCTCAGAAATTGTGAAGATGCTGCAGCACATAGCCAGGACGGTACGAGAAAAGATCCAACACTGACACTAGCTAGTCTTTATTTATTGCTTGGTTCCAGTATGCAATTTTGAAAATTTTGAACCAAAGTTTTGGTACAGGTTGCAAATGGAAGCGAGGATAGACGAAAGGGAAAATCGGCTAAAGTAGTTCCCACGTTCAAGCAAGACAGTGAATGAGGTTCCTGTTTATAAATTAATACGTGTGTAATACAGTGTCTAATGATCATTGATCAATCAAACTCTTCACAAGTCATTTCTTTCCCTCGCTCAACTCTATATGCTCCGATGGGTTAATCTAAGTAATGATTAGAGACTCTTGTGCTGATTCATTGCATTTTGTTTACCATCATCATACATTAAATATTCATTTAACTTCAACCCAGACTTATAAAGGGAATGACGTGTTACTGTTATATTATAGATTAACAAATAATGAAAATTGGGCAAAATTGGATTCAAGTGACGGTGGGGTTAAGATGTTTTCTTCTTTTAGTCCTTCCTCATAGAAAAAAACAAACAAAAAATGGATTCAACTTCAACCGATGGACAAAGATTCTTCCCCGTCATAGATAATAGCACGCAAAAATATATTATTCCCAAATTATTTTTATGCTAAAACCGGGTGCCGGGAATCTGATGCATTTCTCCTCCTTTTCATCTCCTGTCTTTATTTTATTTTTTTGTTTGTATAAAAATAATCTTTGATTAAAAAAAAACACGAAGACATGGACAACCAAAAAATAGTTCACGATTTTATTTCTTCGTTGGCCGATTATTTTGAACTTGGGAATGTTTTAGTAAGTAATTAAATATGCTGTTCCGATGAGTCATGCCTCCATTTCAAAATTGATGACAGAGATGTAACCAACCAGACGAGGACTTTTCATCCCCAAAAAGAAAAAGTGCACCCACCCTTTTGGCTTTGGGCATAATTTACATTCCTGAAAACCACCGCGCATTCGCGAAAGGTGGTGATAACAGTCTAGTTTCAGTGCTTTTTTTTTCCCTTTTTTCTTTTTATGAGGCAAGTATTCCCCACTTGTTCTTGCACTGCAGTTCCTTAGTTGGAATTTTTCAGAAGGTCCTTTGTTTTCAACTACACGATAAGTTGCTGGCGGAACCTCAAGCATCAACAAGAAAGAAGAAGAGGACTGTCAAATGGCCCAGAGGGAAGGACAAGTAGTAGTGAAGATCGACCATTGCGGTGCTTCTTGTAGCAAAGAAACAACAAAGATCAACGGAGAAGCAAGTCCAACGACAACAACAGTTGGTGGCTCACCAGAAAAACCCACTGAATCTTTTCGACGAAGAAGCAAAGAGTTGCCACTGACAGACGCTCCCTCCAACTCGGGCGGAGCTGAGGTTCTGAGATGCAGTTCCAACGCTTCCTTTTCTCGGAACTCGTGGAAGCCACCAATGAGCAAGACCAAGTCCAGGCTTCTTGACCCACCTGAGGAATCCTGCCTAAAATCAGACAGAGTGGCGGGTTCTGGACGAGCGCTTGGAAAAAATGACGATAATGCTTTGGATGACGCCGACATTGAAGACATTCCAGAAGAGTATAAGAGGATCAAGTTCAGCGCACTCACATTGCTTCAGTGGGTGAGTCTTGTTTTTGTTATAGCAGCCTTAGTTTGTAACCTTTGGATTCCAATTATAAAGAGACAAACACTGTGGGATCTTCCACTGTGGAAATGGGAATTATTGGTTTTGGCCTTAATTTGTGGACGTTTGGTTTCGGGTTGGGGAATTCGGGTGGTTGTGTTCTTTGTAGAGCGCAATTTTCTCTTGCGAAAACGGGTTCTGTATTTTGTTTATGGCTTAAGAAAGTCTGTCCAGAATTGTCTCTGGTTGGGTTTGGTTTTGGTTGTGTGGCACTTCATTTTTGATAAGAAGGTTGAGGAGAAGACCAAGAGTAGGATCTTACCTTATGTAACCAAGGTTTTGATTTGTTTTCTGGTTGGTACCTTGATATGGCTTCTGAAAACAATACTTGTTAAGGTCCTTGCCTTGTCTTTCCATGTCAATGCCTTTTTCGAACGAATTCAGGAGGCCTTATTCAATCAGTATGTCATTGAGACGCTTTCTGGTCCCCCTCTGTTTGAAAGGCAACATACAGAAGAAGAGGAAAAGGTCGCCGCTGAGATTCGGGAATTTCAGAATGCTGGGGCTACTATGCCTCGTGAGCTCAGGGCAAGTCTTCTTCAAAGGGCAAGGAGTGGGAGAGTTATAGGGAGTGGACGCCAAAATAGCCCCAGAGTAGGGAAGAGTCCTAGGGTTTCTAGGCCAACTTCTGGGAGCCAAGATGAGGAGATCCCGGTTGACCACTTGCATAAGCTAAATCAGAAGAATGTATCAGCTTGGAATATGAGGAGAATGGTGAATATCATCCGGCATGGGTCCTTAACCACTCTAGATGAACAGATACTGAACTCTGATATTGAGGACGACTCTTCTTTGGAGATTAAAACTGAATGCCAAGCAAAAGAGGCAGCCAAGAAAATATTCCTCAAAGTGGCCAAGCCAGGGTCCTCGTAAGTTTGCATGATTTCTTTTGCCATTTGATATTGATTTGATTTGATCCTCATCTGTACGTAAGCTATGTTTAATTACACACTTAATGGTTTGATTATACAGTACTTTATTCTGTATTAGTGTTATTTCTGTGCAGCAACTTGATTACCTGCTCAGACTGCAAACTCAATGCCTTCTTTATAAACAACACAGGCATATAGGGAAGTAGTCCATGAGACTTACCGTCAACATGTTGTGATAATGCGTTTTGTTGTGACAGATACATTTGCCTTGAGGATTTGATGCCATTTATGCATAAGGATGAAGCTTTGAAGACAATTCATCTCTTTGGTGCAGCAAATGAAAGTGATAGAATCAGCAAGTCCGCTCTTAGAGATTGGGTGGTAATAATGCATTTCAACACTTTTACCTTTGTTCTTGTTTGTTCTTGCTATTAATCAGCAATTAAAATCTATGCCTGTCCAAATCTGGAGAAGCAAAAGAGGTAATCTCTGCTTTCTGTCATTGATGAACCATAAATTGAACAAAGGATGTGTTTTTCTCTTTTCGTTTAGGTCAGTGCATTTAGAGAAAGAAGAGCACTAGCATTGTCTCTGAACGATACAAAAACAGCTGTGGACGAACTCCACAACATTTTAAACATCATTGTAGCTGTCATCATTGTGATAATCTGGCTTATTATACTTGGGATTCCAGTCACCCACTTCCTTCTCCTCATAAGCTCCCAGCTTCTTCTGGTTGTATTTATCTTTGGGAACACGTGCAAGACAGTATTCGAAGCAATCATATTTCTATTTGTAATGCACCCATTTGATGTGGGTGATCGTTGTGAAGTGGAAGGGGTCCAGGTGAAAATTTGAATCTGAAGTTATGTTTAATGCGTATTATCTTATTGTTTATAATTACTTGATGTTCTTTACGTTCTCAGATGGTAGTTGAAGAGATGAATATATTAACTACAGTCTTTCTGAAGTTTGATCACCAGAAGATCATATACCCCAACAGTATTCTTGCTACCAAGCCAATTGCTAATTATCATCGTAGTCCTGACATGGGAGATGCTGTTGATTTCTGCGTTCATATCTCAACTCCTTTGGAGAAGCTGGCCATTATGAAAGAAAGAATACAGGGGTATGAATTGGAATGGACCCATCTTTTTTTAATTTCTCCCTTTTTTTAATTTACAATTCCTTCTAATGATAGTTTTACATTTGGAAACAACACATCCATTTAGAAAACATTTGGTGCATAAATTATTTTCCATTAGAGAAAGGCATGTGACTTGCTGTCGGGTTATGTTTTGAAATGATATCTTCACTGTCTTAATTTGGGCTGTGGCTGCTTAAAATGCTATGCAGGTATATTGAAAGCAGGAGCGACCACTGGTACACAGCTCCTATGTTGATCATGAGGGATGTGGAGGATTTGAACAAACTGAAGATATCAGTATGGCCTACACACAAGATGAACCATCAGGACATGCTGGGGAGATGGACTAGGAGAAGTCTTTTGATTGAGGCGATGATCAAAGTGTTCAGAGAGCTCGATATTGAGTATCGCTTACTGCCTCTCGATGTCAATGTCCGAAACGTGCCGAGTTTAACCTCCAACAAGCTTCCTTCAAATTGGACAACTTGTGTCCCTCCAGTGCTACCAGCAAATTAATTAATAGTCTTCAAGTACGCTATTGTTTGCCACTAAGATACCTGCAGCACTGGAAAGCTTGTAGTTTCAGCCGAACATCTAGATTATAGATTATGGATAAAGTTCCATTATGTATGTATATGTATGCACCAAACTACAAATCCATCACCGACAGTATTGAACATATAATATTGAGACAAGCTTAGCCTTAAACACACAAATCTACTGTTGAATATTGTTGACAACGCACATGGATGGATGTCGTATAACTTATGCAAACAAACAGTTGGGCAAGAAACAGGAGGGAAAATTCATACACGATTGCAGAACAAAAAATAACAGCACAAAGGCCCAACAAGAAGAACAAAACCCAAAATCCAGAAACCACACTTACTGGGCCAACAGTCAACAAAAACATCACAAGAAAAAGCCCCCTCTTTTCTTTTTGGGTTGGCCTTTATATTGGGCTCCTTAGCCAATGCTGCCAAAACATTTTCTCCGCCGCGACACTCTCTCTCTCTCTCTCCCAGCCGCCCCCGCTCTCGTCTCACAGAACAGAAGCAACTTGCCACCGCCGCTTCAAATCTCACAATTTCTACTCTCTGTTGGTCATCAGTTAGGTGATTAGAATACTCTCTCTTTCTCTTTCATCTGGCTCTTAGTTATTGCTTGTTAGGGTTTGGAAGTTTATCTAATGGGACCCAGCTTGTGTTCTGATCTTCACTGATTCGAAGATGTCGATTGTTTGTAAATTTTGACCCTCTTTTTCCTTTACAATAAACTAAACTCCTCTAAAAACCTCTCTCCAATGTCAGAGTCCAAAAGAATGGAAGAGAAGGATACAACAAGCCCTAAGACAACGCAAGAGCTAGCAATGGAAGGCCAGAAGCATCTAGAAGAAACCATAGAGGCAGCTTTCCAGATCCTCTCCTCCATGAACGACGAGCTATGCAACCCCACATTGTGGTCCACCACTTCCTCTTTTTCAGCTGCTACGAACATTGCAAATGGTCCTGCTCCCCACGCAAATGGTGTCAATAATGGCGATTCATCTTCTTCTGAAAACACTTCTACCCATCACGGAGACTTAATTGGTGCTGGTGGTTCTGGCACCGGAGGAGCTCTTGAAGAGGCTCGGCTTCGGTATACGAACTCTGTGCGCTTACTCCGTGCTGTTCTCACTGCGATTCCCAACTCTCAGAAGGTTAATTCAGAAACCCTTTCCTTTAATTTGGTGAATTTACCATAATTCTTGTCTATTAAATGGTCAAATTAGGCACTACCATGAAGTTTTGTTTCTTGGTCACCCAATCAATGACTTATATCGTGAGAAGATTACGCAGCAGTGCAATACTTAACCGATGCCAATTATCCAGTACAGCGTGATTTCTTCAACTTCAAGTTCTTATTTATGTGATGGAACCCTTGATTGATTTACTCGCACTATTGAACTGGAAGAGTAAGGAATTGTATTAACTTTTTGTATGAAACTGATTGAAATAGAGTAAGGGAGAGGCTTTTTAACCCACTGACTTGAATGAAATGTTTGCTCCATTTTCTAGGAATCTCAAGGTCAGTGAAATGCAGCAAATTCTTCATTACAAAATTTAGAATTATCTGCGTGTATATGTGAACATCTATTTGCAGCGATTGTATTTCTGGACCTTATCTCAGATCAACATGTTTGTGAATCTTATTAGCTAACATGCAGTTGTTTTCTTTTTAATAGGCACCATCTGAAACTAGTTCAACTGTAGTCAGTTCAGAATCACCAGCAGGTGAAGCTGAAATTGAGAAGTTAGATGAGCGAGCCTCCAATTTGAGAAAGGTAATGTTGATGATTTTACATATGTAAAGGAGTTGGATTTGTTTGGGTGTGAAGTTGCTTCTAAAGGGGTTGAATATTGAATTTTCTTTGGAGGGTGCATGTAAATTGAAACACAACGATGGTACTACCAGATGGATCACCAAAAAGAACAAGTTAAACAATCTTCGTGACGGCTTTTGTTGAAATTATTCGCCTTCCTAGAGCTCATGTTTTTAATGATACTGAAGTTAAATTTGAGACCTTAATCTTTGAAGAGCTCTATTTGTGTTGTTAGAATATTTCTGTTAAAATATTCTACTGACCGTGTTTTTATTTGTAGGAGCTTGCAAACAAGAATGTGTATGTCAAGTTTCTTATAGATCAACTACGAGATCTTATTACTGACATATCAACATGGCAAAGTCCATGTTCCATCTGATTTCGGAATGGATCTAAAAAATATAGTGTCCTTGCACACTGAAGAACTCTGAAGGTGATTTTGCTTTAGTATTAAGTTTGCACAATCTGTGATATTTATAATTGTTTACCTTTTCCAATCAGTTTGGCGAGGGTTTGGTTATGATTTTCACAGGGGTAAATTTAACGAGGAGAATATTAGATTAGAGATACAGTGGCGAAAGTTTGTAAATCTTGAGACATCTGAGGTTAAAGATCAAGTTGTGGAATCAAATTTCCGATCTGATTAGTGCCTTCTTTGAATTCTTCTTCCATTGTCATGCATGTATTAAAAGTTTGATTTGAATTATGTATTAAAACTTCCATTGTCATGCTGCATGTATTGTTGTGGAAGCCTGTTACTGGGTACATCAACCCAATTCATCTCATTCGCTTCCTCGGAAATAAAAGTAAATGTGACAGGCCTGGCATGGCTCGTGTGTCTTGTGCCTTTAGTCTTGACCTTATTTGGACCTCAGGAGATGTAGAGAACCCAAAATTATGTTTTTAAAAGCCCAAACCGAAGTTGGCCCCATGAAATTATGTTTTTTTTTTTAAATTCACTTGTAGTTGGTGGTGGTGGGCGCCCATCAAACCAACTATCTTTAAGCAAGGGATAAAGTGGCAGAGCAGCTCCTCGTGCTTTTGTATGGAGTAAAACCATACAGGAAGGCACTAATTAGAAGCTCCAGAATAGTTCTACTCTATAGAAAGAAAGAATCAAATTCAATCCAATCCAATCCAATCCATAGAAAGTGTCATGGCGACTACTCCGGTGAAGGTGTACGGACCACCCATATCAACAGCCGTGTCAAGAGTGTTGGCCTGTCTCCTGGAGAAAGGCGTTGATTATCAGCTCATTTCTGTCAACATGTCCAAAGGCGAGCACAAGAAGCCTGACTATCTCAAGATCCAGGTAGCTATCATTTCCCGCATATCATTGTATTCATTCTCACTTAATATCTCATTTCATTTTCGTTTTCGTGACATGGTTGTAACAGCCGTTTGGACAAGTGCCGGCTTTTCAAGACGAGGACATCTCCCTCTTTGGTATGATTCACCTAACAGTTATACAGTTTGGCATATCAATTTCCTTTTTATTGTTCAAATAATAATTATGGGTAATTGGATTGTTGTATGCATTTTAATTGTATTATTACTCGTGTAATTTTCAGAATCCAGAGCCATATGCCGGTACATATGTGACAAGTACGCGGATCAGGGAAACAAGGGGTTGTACGGAACGAATCCATTGGCAAAAGCCTCCATAGATCAGTGGCTGGAAGCAGAAGGGCAAAGCTTCAGCCCTCCAAGCTCAATTCTGGTGTTTCAGCTCGCATTCGCACCAAGAATGAAGCTGAAGCAAGACCAGGGAGTGATAAGGCAGAATGAAGAAAAACTGAAGAAGGTGCTTGACGTGTACGAAAATAGGCTCGGGGAGAGCCGGTTCTTGGCCGGAGATGAATTCTCACTGGCCGATCTGTCCCACTTGCCCAACGGCCACTACTTGGTGAATGCCACAGACAGGGGAGAGCTGTTTACTTCTAGAAACAATGTGGGGAGGTGGTGGACTGAGATTTCGACACGAGACTCGTGGGAGAAGGTGGTCGAGATGCAGAAGCCTACTGCAAATTAGATTTTCAGCCTTGCATTTGCTTGCTGCTTCACTTTTGCTATGGCATCGGCTTAACTTAATTCAAGGCTTGAATAAATTATTTATGATGTTTGGAGACTATTTTGGTGTGGTTTCTTTCTGGTGTTTTGTTTTGTTTTGCTTGTTTATTTCCCCGTCTTTAACTATTGTTGTCTGGTTTATAAAATAATGTAGTACCATGATTCCCCTTCATTTTCACTGGATTCCTTGACAAGTGAGAATTACACACTCAAAAGAAAAAGGGATGCAATGCAAGTGTGAATTAGACACTCAAATTCACTATCTTTGATTCCTCCTCAAATCAAATACAAATAGGCGCCTATCCACTTTCCGTGTGTGTGATGGGAACATGGTCTGCTGCGTGCCCTGTGGTTTCCGCTCGTGATTGTTCTTATTTCTTCATAAAAAATACAAATAGGCAGAAAAATAAAATAATTAATTGGAAATAAATACATTGGGCCCAATAAGACACGTGAAATTGGTTGGGTCGCTGATTTAATAGCATCTTTTGGCAAATGAAACCAAAACAAGCCTACCACTTGGAATGGAAGTGGAAGCTAAAATCCATTCGCAGTCCAAGTCCAAGAAAATGGAAATCCAGGGTGGCAGCGAGAGCGCGAGAGACCTAAAAAAACAGATGCAGAGAATGGAGATGATGGAGGAGGAGGGTAATAGGAATAGGAAGGTGGAGGTTAGCGTGGAAGAAGGATATAGAGAAAACAAGATAAAGAAAGCAAGGCTGCAGTCGACGCTGGTTGCCCTTGTGGATGATCCTATACTGTCCGATGTTCCCAAAAACCCAACCTTATCCGATGTCGACACCCTCATCTGCCTCGAATTGGGCAGCGCCATGCGCATCTCTGTCCTCAAGCTCGACGCCACCGCTTTCGGTACTCTTCGAACAATTTCTCAATTCCAATTTTTGTTTCCTTTTATTTGTACATCATAAAATTCCAGAATTCGAAGCTGATTTTGGTTTGATTTCATATGCTGACCGAAGATGTGGCGCTCATGAATTCTGCAACGGTCAAGGACCTTAAAATTGCAATAAAAAAGAAAATCAACGACATGGAGCAATCCAAGATGGGTCACCGCCACATTTCATGGTACTAGTATGTTTGATCTCAATACTTTCCAAAACACTTGATACACTTGATCTTGTGCTGCTACTTAATAATACTTATACTTTGTGTCTTCGCAGGAAGCACGTGTGGGGGAATTTTTGCCTCTCGTACCATAATGACAAGCTACTTGATGACAATGCTGCACTTCAGGATTATGGCATACGCAACAATTCTCAGGTGTTTTTATTATTAAACTGGAACAAGCTCTAGGAAATTTATGGCTCTCATGGTATTATTAGTATCTGATATCAACTACTTACTTGGGGCGGTGTTCATTCGCAATTTCATTCATATATATATGTCCATGTCCAGGTGCATTTTGTTCCTTATGTTGCGCTCAAGGATTCGCATAGGCATTCAAAGAGGAGGAGACACCGCTTCTTTCATGGCCTTAGCAAGCTTTCTTGATGCTTAATGGATAGTTTTGGTATATCTCTCTCTCTTTCCTTCGCTCATAGGCAGTAGAAGTAGAGTAAGCTGCCATTAGAACATGTCTGCTGATGAATCTTTGATGTCCAATCATCATCATCAAGGATGGAATTTATATATGTTTTTTGTAGACTATGTAAAGAAAAGATTGCAGACCTGCACTGCACTGCACGACCACACCTTCATTTTATTATGTTTCCCTGCTGCATGCAGCTGAGCCGGATCTACAAACTGTTTTTTTCCCCCTTGTTTCTAATGAATTACCAAATACCATTTTATATATAAGAAACTAACTAAAACCAATGAAACAGACGCATTCTTCACAGAAACGATAGAAACAACCAGGAAGGAGTTGTTAAGTGCCCCTCGCATATTAAAGCTAAAGTTTAGGAATTTGATCATCTTGCACCGTAAAATGGTTGCATAAACTTTCTTTTTGACAACCAGAGACTACTTTCTCTCTCATATACACACACACGCCCCAAAGCTGATTTAATCTCTCGACTCTCTTCTTAAGCTCTAGTGATCAACTTTTGTTCATTTCCAAGGTCTGCCTGACTCCCGAGCTTCATACTCTCCTTGTACTCTTTCAACTCTTTCTTGTATCTTTCTTTGTCTTGCAACCCAATATTCTGGTAAACCTATAAACAAAGATGACAAAGAATGTGACAAATCAACAAAAACAAAAACAAAAACGGAACGGAATGGATATGGTGTGAACACAAACCACCAAGCCAAATATGGATAATGAAGTCGCAAATCTAATAACACAAGGTAATTTAGTTACCAGCCTCTCTTCTGCAGTGAGATTGCTCCAAGACTCGCCTATCATCTTGGTAAACTCCCTTTCTCTGTTTGGGTAGAGGGACTTGAGCTTGTAATGCTTTTCAGCAAAATAGAAATTATAGCCACTCCTGTTGGGTTTTGGATAGTTGGGATCTCCCCTTTTTCTCCTCCTCCTCTTCGAACCCAAAAGACGACAAGATCTTTTGGTGTATGGTACAATGGCATTAACAGGTTGGGGAGCTGGACTAAGTGGATTAGAAGGAGGACCAGGTAGAGGCTGCTGACTAGGATGGTAGAGAACTCCGCTGAGAACTTCCGAACCCAATTTCACAGTTATGAAATAGCCACAGTCAAATTTCCCATCAATGGTTCCCGTACCTGGAATAATAATACAAAGCAGCTAGTTACATTAGGCATATGAATGCTATGATAGGCAAGCCACTCCAATCAAATCGAATATCAAATTAAGTTCAAGCTGATGGATCAATGATCAACATCTCTACATGCTCCGAAACAAAAAGCTCGTATTTTAGACAAGGAGCTTTTTGGCAAATGACACAAAAGACTCATTCATGATCCGAGGTATTGGAATCACTCCTTGAAATCCTGATATTGGTCTGGTCCCGTATGTCATATGTGGGGTGATCATCATTGACCTCGACCCGTCGATGGATATTGTGTTGTGATACAACTATCTATGCAGTTACAACAATACAAGAAAACCCAAACCTAGTTGAAGGAAATTGAGGTTCCACATCAAAATCAATTGGCAATGGGGGGAGTAGCACAACTCCTTATAAATCCAGGCTTGGTCCTTTAACTTTTCAATGTGAGACAAACACTCTCAACACGCCCCGGCACGTGTGGCGAACTTTCAAACCTAACACGTGGACAACACATATTAGGTGACGTGGGAGCACGTGTGGCCGTTGGGCCCAACACGTGACGCTTTGCTCTGGTACCATGAAGAAAGTTGAGATTCCACCCCAAAACCAATTGGCAATGGGGGGAGTAACTCCTTATAAACCCAGGCTTGGTCCCTTAACTTTTCAATGTGAGACAAACACTCTCAACACTAGTACATGGATAGCAGCCACATATGCACATTGAAGATAGGAGTGGGGCCCTGAGAAGGTGAAATTGAAAATACACTCAACTTTCCCCATATGCACGTGGGTTTTTCTTGTTCCTTCTTGACAAAAGAAAAATTAGATAGGAAAATTGCAAAGTTTTCGTAATTCATAATTCAGTTAAATGATAAAGGTCGCGAAATATTCCTGATCAAAAGCAAACCAGACGTGATAAATATAAAATTTTGAGGCCGAGAAAGCACATAAAAAATTTGTGGTTGTGTGATTGAAACTATTCTTATCCAGTAGGATTTTTGTGTATCAATCAAGAGTGATGGAGAGGTAGGGTCGAGAAAAATGAACCTACCTTCAATGACATGCGGACAATCTTTTATGTGTTTGGGGGAATATTCCACCAGAGCAAGCTCAGGTTTGTCTGCAGACTCAGAATGGTTACTAATGGAAAATGCAGTAGCTGCAAAGAGAGAGAGAGAATATTAAGTTAGACCTCCAGAAATCTAAAAATAAAAGCCGGGTAGAGCAACAAGAGAAAGATTTTTTTAAAAAAAATTAAGAAAAAGAAAGCGAGGCAAGAAATAGAAATACCTGTAGGGGTACATAAAGGACCCTGTGTCTTGAAGAAGTAAACCTGTTCATAATGGTAAAGAAGAGTTGAGTAGTGTTTCCTCAACACAAAAGAAGCGCTTGTTGTTGTTGGGGAGAACATGAAAATGGCACCCACTTCCCTCCATTTCTTCTCTGCAACAACCTATATATAAACCATCATCTTTTTTCTGTAAAGCAAAAGTAAAATAGTATAATAAAATGTACCTGAAAAAATACTTGGTACTTTGGAAATGAGGGGATAGATAGCCGAACCTTCTCAAAGCCACCTCTCCGTGTTACCTCTACATATAATATGTGCAAATCTAGCTCCTTTCCTCCAATCACAGGGATCCTTAGGAGGAACAAAAAAAGAGGAGGAGGTGAAATAATACAGTATATGTTAGAAAGAGGGGGAGGGGGGAACAAAAAACTGCTCAACTTTAAAAGTTCCCATGAAGAATACATTAATTCTAAGGTATATGTGTTATCTAAATTTCTGATCATGCGCAAATCCCCAAGAATAAATTTTGCGGTAAAACCAAGGAAAGAAAGAAGAAAAAAAATTGCAAGGAGACGAAGAAGGCAGGCTTACATAAACTTGGTGTTCATCTTCAAGTGGAAGCGCCTGAGAGTGTCCCAGAAAACAACAGGGTCTTTGACAACTTCCTCATGGGTAGCATGGGGTGCAGGATAATGCCTACCCAGCAACCCATTGGAGCCCTTGTTTCCTGCCACCGGCGACATCTCTTCCCGGCGGCGACTTGTTCTTTACAGGCTCGCCGGAAAACTAAGAAAGGCAAAGGGTGTGATGGGTAAGTGAGTGAGAGATAACACTAATGATGATAAGTAAAGAAAGGTGTGATTTCCGAGATAAAGTTTGCAATTAAGCTACAGTAAATAGTCTGACCAAAGTTGAGTTGTTAATAAAGAAGAGAACAGTGTAGTTTGGACGCGTGGGATGTAACGGTTGTGCAAAATTGGCATTTTCTGTCCATCTTGAAACCAAAGTCTCCTAAATTAAATAGTGCTTTGCTTGCTTATTAATTTATGAGTATTTATTTTTCATTCAGAGCAGAGCGCACACACAGAGGTTATATATTCATAATCAATTTACTATTAACTACACACTTCCCTTCCCTTCCCTTCCCTCCTCCTATTGAGTTGAAGCTGTGTCTCTCTTGTATTTAGTCGATCGAAGTCTGACATCTCTGCTGCATGCAGCTGAGCTGTAGCTGTAGCTTTAGCTGTGTCTGCTGTCTGTGTGTGTAATCCCTGTGAGTCTGAGGAAGGGAGAAGTGAGGAGTGAGAGCTGAGAAAGGAGAAAAGGCACTTCTCTCTCTTGTCTTGTGCGAAGACCAAGAGGTTGACATGCACTTGAAGAGAAAGGTTTCTGCTTCTGAAACAAATCTTTGGGTACATCTGCTGCTAGATATCTGACTACCCTTTCTCTGACTGATTGTTTCCAGTGCACTTAACCCCACCGACCTAATCCAGGACACGCTAATATTTGAACCCTTGATTGATATATACACAAAAGGCTTGGATTTGTTTATTTGACTCCGGTTATTGGGTTTATGTGGGCCCCCATGTTTATTATCCATTGAAAATAAATACTAAACAGTTATTTGGTGACTTCACTTTGGTTTGGTCCTTCACCACCAGCAGGAGGACTGACCGGGAGCAGAAAAATTTATGGGAAATACTAGTAATACTCTCTCTAACTTTCTCCTTAGGATATTTTTTTTATTTTGCTTGACATGTGTCATTCTTCTTACATGTAAAATAATATCATTAATATATTATACAAGTTAACTTTTGCTTTTCAAATTTATCCTTATTAAATGTATTCAATTTATCCAAAAAAAAAATTCATAGTTTTCTTACTATCTTATTAATTTTTTTTAAAGAAAATGTTTGTTTTTTTTAGAAAAGATGAAATATCCATTTTTAAAAAAAAACACAAAGGACTTTCTTTTTCCTATCTAAAGCCTTCATATTTAAAAAAAAAAAAAGTTAAAAATAATAATTAATAAGATGGTAAGAAAGTTATGAATTTTTTATGGATAAATTGAATACATTTAATAAGGGTAAACTTTGAAAGCAAAAGTTAGCTTGTATAGTATATAAATGACATTATTTTAAGTGTAAGGAGAATGACGCATGTCAAGTAAAAAAAGGAAAATGTCCAATAGAGAAAGTTAAAAAAAAGGTTACTAGCATTCCTCAAAATTTATATGAAACAGAGATAACAGCATTTTGCTATCACGTAAATGTTTCTCGACCGCGGGGCGAGGGTGGTTTAAGATTGCTGACTAGGAAAATCTATTTTGTCATTGATTTTGAGTTTCTTATCTCTCGAGTATTTTATCACCAAGCTTTGCTTTGCATTGCATTAAATAACTTCTTCTTGGGTTACAAGGCCCAGACAGAAAGAAAGAAAAACACTCGTTGGGTTTGCGGCTTGTAAGTAGTAACAGGATTAAATTTTCTATTGTGGGCTTAAAAGCTGTGCAAGTAGGACGGCCCAGAAAGTATAATTGCGCTAGCAGCAGCAGGCTGTTTAGGACTCGTTTTCTTTATAATTCGGTTTAATCATGTTAAGCAGAATTGACAATATCACGAAGATAAATATTTTATTCATTGTCGTATATCACAGAGGGCATTTGGTCTAGTGGTATGATTCTCGCTTTGGGTGCGAGAGGTCCCGAGTTCGATTCTCGGAATGCCCCTGTGAACCTTTTGCTTTTTTTGCCTTGTGACCCGAAGAGAGGCCCATAAGATAAAACCAACATTAATATTAGAAATTTGCAGGCAAGCAATCATCAATTCTTCTTCATCTTAATTAGTTAATTACATCACATTCACGTATGTCTCTGTCTGCCTACATCAAGTTCAGACCCATACATAATGCATTAATATAATAATGAACTTGACAGAGACCAGACCACCTATATTATCGTTTAACCTACATATAACTTTTAGCAGCATAGCATTTATTAAACACAGTGGCATGGCCGTGGGGCAGATGAATCCCATTCCTGATAAAAAATTGGATGATTGATTTGATGATGACGATACATTATCCATTCATTTATTTGCCTCCTCCAAGTTCCAAGTTCCAAGTTCCAACACCAACAGGCACCATACGTTCCTCTTTTGTTTGCTATATCATCAAATCAACAAAGGTTCAAGCAGAGCCTATAATCATAAATTTGGGTCAACGCGTAAGGGTGGGTGCGATCTTTTCCGTTTTGATTTCCACCTCATGCTAGAATTGGAATCGGTATTTTCAACTGGTATGGTTTAAATTCGATTTTAGTGAAAAAAATTTATGAAACCAATCAATCTTGTTTAAATTAGCTCTCGTGTAATAAGAGGTGATTGAGTCTAAAAAAGAAAGGTACTTTGAAGCTGTACTTGGGGAATTAGTAGTTATGAGATTAGAAATTTAGCATTGGACTTAAATAATTTCTTATTAAAAAAATACACAGTCGTTCTAGTACGATTTTGTAAAGTGTGAAACGGCACTAAAACTGGTTTGAACCGATAATTGAGTTCGGTGCCAGTTTGTTGAATTTTTAGTCAACACGATTTTTTTCCAGTTTTTTTTTCGTCCGGTGCGACTCAGTGTTCTAATTTTCCGATCTCGATGCCCATGCGCCTCAACTCAATAAAAAACAATTGGATAATAATAACTACTCCTCCACGTTATTAATATTATTTCTTGGTTTTTTTGTGAAGACAAAGGTTTGCGAAGTCTCCATCGAGATTTGAAGGGTTGTGAGTCTCCTTCAATTGAAGGAGAAAACGATGTGCTTTATCTGTTTCATGTCATCATAAAATTTCAATGTAAACAAATATGCATGCTAACCTAATCGTATCAGTTTACAACCCTTATTAGGGATTTTTTTTTCCTTAATTTTATTGTAAGAGTCAATGTAATTTTAGGTAACACGCATAACATTTGAATATTGATGCATGGAAGCAGGGTTTCATATAAATAGAAGGTCCATTTGTATATAAGGTAAATAGTTTTGATTCCTCTTGTATTATCAGCAGCTGTAACATTGTGGGCGTACCAATTTTTGGTCAGGAACAGATATGGCATGTCACAGTCCCAACCACACAATTCCTTCCTCCTAAGATGAATATGAAGATGAAGATGCTGATGCTTGCTAATCATTCAAATATCATCAATCCAATCCAATCCATACACGACCAACATATATACGGAGAGCCAGGCCAGGCAAACTTGGCCAAGTGCAGAGGCTTCGTGATATAGCTAGCTAGCTAGCAGTGCACCGAGTTAGATTTTGCAGTGCTTCATCAGACTCGGTTCATTCATCCATCCATTTGGAAGATTCTTAAGAATATACTCCTCGTCAACGCAATCCAATCCATCACTCTTTAATGAGGGCCCTACCGCTGGGGCCCATACGCTGCGGACGCCCCACTATATAATATAAACAAAGAGAAGGTCCACATTCACTCAACCCTCCCTGCACTTTAAAAGCACTTCATCATCTGATTTTTTGTGTCTTTTTTTTCCCTCTAAAAACTCAAAAGCCCAAAACAAGACTACCCCACCACCCACCGCTTTCCGTTTTAAGAGAACTCTGCTTCATTTCAGCAAAGATGAATATTTCTTCTCCTCCTCCTGCTACTGCCACACCCAGGCTGTCTCTAACAGATCAGCAACATCTTGTAGACAAACTTGAAGTTTTTAAGATTCAAGGTCGAGACAAACATGGTCGAAAGGTTCTCCGCATCGTCGGAAAGTTTTTTCCAGGTAATTATAATTAATTACTCGATTAAAATTGTACGTGTTATTAATTTGTTGGTTAATTTTCGGGGTACCTTCCTAATGTAATTTTAATTTGGTTATGTACTAAAATGTTCAGCTCGAAGCGTGAGCAACGAGGCTGTGAACAACTACTTGGAGGAGAAAATATTCCCAAATTTAGGGGAAAGGCCCTTCTCAGTGGTGTATTTGCACACGGATGTGAATCGCAGCGGCAACTTCCCTGGAATTTCGAACCTACGATCAATCTACGACGCTATTCCGATCACCCTCAAGGACCGTCTCCAAGCTGTTTACTTTGTCCACCCGGGTTTGCAGGCCAGACTCTTCCTTGCCACCTTTGGTCGTCTCCTCTTCAAGTCAGGGTATTAAAATCATTTCCATGTATTTTGTTTTGGAACTAGCCTATGAAAGGAACGTTGACCAAAGTTAAAGTAAAAAACCGGGGGCTAACGTAACGTGACGGTGATTGTGGTTTTTGGAACAGGTTGTACAAGAAGCTAAAGTACGTGAAGAGGCTGGAATTTTTGTGGGACCAGGTGCGGAGGAATGAGGTGGAGATTCCAGAGTTTGTGTATGATCACGATGAGGAGCTGGAGTACCGTCCGATGATGGACTATGGGTTAGAGAGTGATCATCCGAGACCGAGGGTCTACGTTGCACCTTGTACGTCTTCTACGTCCATGATGGACTCTCCTTTTGTGTACTCCATGCGTTGTATCGCATAGCATTTATTTGAGATGGTTCATCATACAAGAAAGCAAACCCTTTTGGTTTGTTTTCCTTTTGTTGAGATGGTTAATATCAAATTGTTTTCCTTTTGTTGAGATGTTTTCCTTTTCCCGATTAGCTGCCTGGGTTCAAATCAAACCATTTGCTCTTCAACTCAACCCACCATTAACCATACAAAATTACAAGGGTCGTTTAGTACAGCAGATTGTTATGAATTGGACTAAATCCTGAAACTAACTTGGATTAATTCAAATTGACTTAAGCTAGATTAAATATTGACCTATGTTGGTGCTAAGTCGAACTATAAAAAACTAATATTTAAATATTAAATATAATAATTTTTTAACTAATTAAATAAATATAATTTAAGAACTTAAAACTATGAACATACGTTATAGTTATCAAATTGACATGTACATTTCTTTTCTCTGAATCCTTTGGTTCGATTAATGCATCAATAACAAAGAATTCTTCATTTCTTTTCCCGAAGAACAGCCAATGAGAAACAATATCACAGACCAAAAGCAAACAAGGCAAAGTTCAACCACCCTTCTTAAGACAAAAACGCACCAAACAATTTCTCTCTATGAGCTCACAGAAAATGGTCGATGTGTATCACTTGAGGTCTCTCTTCTCTGCATTTGATGACACCACATCTTGCAACTTAACCAATGATCATATGAGGCATTTCCAGCATCCAACAAAAAAAATGTTGACTCTTTGTCTAGATCAATTCGTTAGTTTTCGATTGCACTTATGATATCTAGAAATATCCATTGGCTCAAAAGACACCATCAGCTTCAACTCTGAAATTATGCATGGTTGCCTACACAAGTTTTGACCTCCAAACATGGGACAATTTCTCAAGCCTCCAAAAACTACAAAAATGAAATGATAAACAAAATCTACAAAAAAATAAAATACTACACGTAAAATAAACAAAAAAATGATAATTAAACCGACCACAATAACTTACAGCAACATTTAGTAAACCAATTAATGGATACAGAGAAAACATTGACTTGATTTTTTCTCTTATGAGCTTCAGTATTATTAAACTGCAGCATCCTATCAAGTACCTACAAGAATCAGAATATATTTTCTGAAACCCCATATTTTTAGAATAAATAAAGAGAAAACAATATCAGCAAAATTGTTAAAACATTAGTCAAATTGTTGAGAACATAAAATCCCACATAGACTATTCTAAGCCTTGCATTTCAATATATAAAATTATGAACCTCTTCAGCCATTATCACCATAGTACCAGAACGACATCATGTCAGTCCCACCTTGGCTACAACTTCATATCATACTGAATAATTTATAGCACTCATACTAAGGCTAAGTTAAAACCACAAAAGGAATAAATAATGAAACAACATGGTGCAACTATACAAGAAAATTTAGCAACTACTCACTCGGTCAGAACTTTTAACATACTCTAAGGAGAAGTTAACCTGACTGCCTGTTAAATGGTCATTATTTTTCATCATTCTCCTCAGATAAATAATCATCCCTACCTTCATCCTCTGAGCTTGAAGGATCAAATCTAATGTGCTTGCCACAAAAATCCTTATGTACAGGGGAAAACGATTCAACGCGCTGAGAAATAGTGCTGAAACGTTTGTCTAGCTCCTTTTTCTCTGCGGATAAAAGTGGAAACTTCCTATCCTTTTTATTGGATTTGGCTGAAATGCCTTCTCTGATTTCTTTACATTGGAAATTTCTAGATTCCTGGCTTCCCAGATGGCAGAAATATGCATCCTGTTATCATAAAGTTTACTCCAATCAATGTCGTTAAAATATACATTATATAACTGACAAAGGACAATGAGATGACTTGAACACATGATATGTCATCCCAAACCTTAATCAACCAGGTGGTATGGTGTGGCTTGATTTCACCCCTGCGTGTGTGGGTGTATCAATGTTAATTTATCACCAAGTAAATTCATGTTGGACTGAGCTTAATTGAAAACTTAAGAGGCGGGGGCGGGGGGCATTCAACAAGAACGATGTGAACACGGAGCACTTAAAATTAGGACCGAGAAATGATCAACAAGACCCAAAACTGTGCATGTAATAGCTTCTGCATCATCAAATATTTTTCAAAGAAGCAAGTACATCAGCAAAAGCATGCATTAAAGATCCCTGTAACTCAACACGAGCACAGGCATGATCCTTGTAACTCAACATCCATAATAGATGAAATTTTGACTTCCACATGCTCTGTGGACATTAGAACGACTTTGACTGCATGAAAAACTTTATAAATAAGTAAATATGACATCAAATTTATGCACAGCAAGTACTATAAAAAGAGGTCTCCTTTCCCAATATAGTTCTAAGTTCAGTATTGAGCTATCTACAAAATAGACTTTTATTTTTTACCAAAAAGTAGAAGCAAAAATGTGACATACCCCAGGCTGTGAATTCGTATTCCAAGTGCTTCCTTGCTTGCAACTGATCGCTTCTTAACAATGAAATCTAAATATTCTTCAACCCTAATATCTTTATTTTCACAAGTATCCATGAACTCAGAAAGTAGAGATATCATCTTCCCACTAGTTATCTTAAATACTTCAATTGTATTGTATCAGACTTCACTGAGAAATAATGCATAAGAAGTAGATGTCGCAACAAGTGGATGTCTAATCAAATTGAACTTTGCAGCTAAAAGAATAATTAATTACATGATACATATGCAATAAACAAAGGAGCTGGAAATGAAATGAAACCAGGATAGGCAAATCTATTTCTTCAATCACAGAAGCATTTAATGGGTAAATTTAACAAACAACATATAGGTTAATGGGCTGAGGTAGAATTTCTTCATTCATCGTTAGCCACCTTAGTCCTTAAGAAAAAGAAATACATTAATCCTTAACCCTCCCCTTCCTCAAATTTCTTCCCTTCCATGCCTTGAATTCTATCCCTATTCATGCACCCATGACATGATCTGTCACAGAGCAGTATCAACAAGCTACAAAAACAAGTCTCCTCATTACCCATTCGAACCATGCTCGAATGACACCCAAAAACAGAGTGATGTTAAAACAATTCCTTCTGAGCCACAAAACATGACGAAGAAGTAACCAGGCTAGATCACAGGCAAAAACTACTTCATAGTGAGAGTAGCAGCGGCACTGCTCTGTCGAAGAACTCTGTACTAGAAAACCATCATATGATGACAGTCAAAGTGAGGATTTGCATGGTTTGTCATGTCATGCAATAATACCAATCCATCTAACACATCAACCTAGTGAATAAAAAAATATACATTCCAAGCTTAATTATGAATGGAATTGATTTCGGTTAGATTTGAAACTTTGCACCATCTTATACAGTAAACAACCTATATTTTCACATAAGAGGACAAGTAAACATCCACAAAAATTAAAGACCCTGTTATACCACATATGCACTTGTTTATTTGAATTGAACCCAGAATGAAACCTCACCCATAATCTTTTAGCAATAGCTATAATACCCAATTAACACAAATCAAGACCACAAATCAATCTATCGAAGAAAATCATGTAGAAATGCGTCTTTAAGGTTTAAGATTTTAAATTTGTGGTCTTGATAATCACTCCACTAACAGAAAAACCTAATAATCTTATATAAAAAATGACTGCTTAGTAATACTTGATGATGATACTTACAAACTGGAAGCACCACCACTTGGGTTGTGAGCCCCCGACTCTGAGGTGTCCATTGCTGCACAACCAACGTAAAAAAAAGAAAAATCAAAATTCTCGCCCTGAAAGAAGATACGAAAAGAAAATTAAGCAGCTGCATGCGTGCGTCTAAGCGTTAGTGAATAGTGATTGATGATATTGCCGAACAACTTATCGAAGAGATTTTAGAACTTACGGGAGGCCTGTAGTGCTTCACCATGGCTGGCTGTGGAAGGAAACTCTGAGAGAGAGAGAGAGAGAGAGAGAGAGAGAGAGAGAGAGAGGGATTCAAAGAAAGCTATAATCATAGAATTTGATGAAATTAGAATAACAGGACTTGATACCTTGAGGCAAATCTGAAACGGGCTCTTCAATGATGTCCATTAAAGCGGAATCATTTATCTTTCTTCTTGTTCATGTTCTTCGCCATTGCTTTGGAGATGGAACTGAAAAATCATATAAAAAAACCATACAAATTAACAATACCCATGAAGAAATAAGAGAGGTTTGTAAAGGGAGAGAGAAAAAAAAACTTGCCTGAGTACAACTTCGAAGAAGAGCAGAGTCGATGTTGAAGGAAACGAGAGAGAGAGAAAGAGAGGCGTTCTAGGGCTCGGACTCGCGTGTTCTATTTAGCGAGCTCGCTATTTTGCGAACCAAGTTTCAGGCTCGCTAGATTGGGCGAGCGAGGCATTTTTTGTACTGTTGGACTATATAATCTATCTAAGTTAGTCCCCCCTTTCACCAAACATGGGTTTTAAGTGCTAATTAACCCAGTCCAGTCCAGTGAGGCCTACCAAACACGCCCACAGAGTCTTGTTATGGGAACAAATATTTTATTTCTAGTGCAATAAGTTACACAATCGAACAAGTCACTCTACTCATAACATAATGGCTAACTAGATAGAGACAATCACCTCCTCCACAGAAACAGAATGAATTTATAGACAACAGCGTATGCTTATTGCTTGCTTACATTACATGCGTCAACAATATAAAGTATATACACAATAATAACACAAACCATTGATTAACATTAACATTACCATACCAGAATCATTGAATAGAAGCTCCTGCTTTGCTTCATTTAATTTGCTGTTGCTGCCTTGCAACTTGCATCAGCATGGATTAGGAATAACCCAAAGCGGTAGAGAGCCAGGAGGCCAATGCACCTCATAATTCGAATTCCTGGGATAAGGAGGCAATTCTTGAATTGTTCCATCCCATATTCTGAAAATCCCCGAATCGTATCCCCCAAGTCCGCTCTCATAGTTGGATTCCGAGTAATCGTCTGTGAAATAAATGCAATTTCCCACACTTCCCGGAAAATCAGACGCAGACAATGAAAACGACGAGTTTTCGCCGATAAACACCATCCTCTCGCCCAAGTTCTCAACCTTCTCCCACCTCGCCCCTACACAATTCATCCTGAAAACGACAAATCCCGTAGTTCTGTAATTCACATTTGTATTATCCCACCGTTCAATCTCCAAATACCGACTCACCAGCAGCAGATCGGCCCCCAAATTCACCAAATATCGCATATCAGCGGAATCATCTAGCCTTGGCGTTGGGATAATCGCAACCCTAGGGGCTGACGGACCCTCAACGTCACACACCGCGACCACACCCTTACTGTCCACGGCGTAAAACAAGCCGTTCACGGATATGACGTCCTCGGAAAAAGATCGGGCGCCGTCGATGAAAGTCCAAGACTGGTCTCCGTCTCTGCAATACGCCAAGTCACCGGTTTGACTGAGAATCGCTAGGGCAGTAAAACCGCTAGCTTCCAGAGGACTCGAAGAGAGGACGACCTTTTTCAGAAATGAATCGCGCATTTGGGCCAAGCTGAGCGTGTAGACATCTCCGGACGAGGATTGGAGCGCGTACTCGCGGCCGACTTCGGAATAGTCGAAGCGAACAACGTTGGGGAAGGCGGAGAGTGGAGGGAGGTGGCGCTTGGCACGTGTGAGAGGGTTAACGAGAAGGACGGTGGGGGTTTCGTCGAGGATGACGAGCCAGCCGTGAGAGGAGCCGCAACGGCGCTTGCGATGAGAAGCTTCTGGAAGGTGGAGGAAGTGGACTCTGCTGTTGGAGAGGTTGAAGAAGGCGCGGTGTGTTTGGTTGGGCTGGGATTGGGGGAGCATCAGCCAGGGGAGCTGAGGAGGGAGGTGCTGCGGAGTTTTGGGGACACAGGCTAGCCAGCTGTGGCACACAACTCGGAATCGGAGATAGTCCGCGTAAATTGTGAGCTTTTTCGCGATTGATTCTACCAGTTCTGGTGGGAGTTGGGTCCAATCCACCCCCATTTTCGCGGGTCGACTCCAACCCCGCCCCCAAAAAGTTGATGTTTTGGATGGATGCCTTTCCTTTCAACTTTACCAATTTTGTTGTCACTTTATTTATTTCCAACTCCCAAAAAATAATTTTTCACGACCCAGAAAGTTGACCATTGGGCAAGTCGCCGCTAGGATCATTGGGCGGGCCTCATAGTTTTGGGCCATTTATGCACTGCTGATCCATCAGCTCTGTCAATTAGGGTGGATATTTAACGATTAAATTGAGAAATATGTGCTAAAATTCATGGAAGCAAAGCTCCTTCACTTCACTTCACTTGTCCCTCGATGCAAAGATTGATTGAACTGATTAGGACAGGATTCAAGGAGATAAAAGTCATTTTCAGTAAAATCCTTCTGTAATCATAAAAGTTTGTCTGCAAAGAAAAAATTACGCAGCCGCAGCAACTAACGTAATTGTAAAATTCTTCATACCATGTAAGTCGCATTGTCAACAGAGAGTTATAAGCATCAACTCATATGATGAATGAAACTGGACTACAACTTTTTTCCCCAAACAAAATAAGACCGTATAATCAGTTGTGTAAAGATTGGCAACACTGAAGAAAGAACAAGGCATACGTAGAAGATTGATTTGATTGTCTGTGAAACAACTTACTCTTCGACATTCCCCACATCAACACTTTCTTCATTGCTGGTGTTTCCATCGTTGTCAGCACCAGTAGTACATAAATCGGGGTAGTTACGGTGGTTGAGAGAGTGCAACCAGAGACCCACGACACCTTCTTTTTGCTCTGTGGATGCAATATGAGGGTATATATGCTTCATCTTGAAATCTTCTGCCTCTTGTTCATAGTCTTTCATTGACAGCTCTTCATGACTGTCTCCCCATTTCTGGTTATACGACGCAAAGAAGCACTCGTCCAAGTACAAACCAACCTCAGGAGCCGTAGGCACATTGACGTTAACATCCCTGAATTTTGCATAAAACTGGGTTAATACATTGCATATTCTCTCAAATCTCAAACAAATATCACATAGAAACAACACAATAATAATAAAAATAACAACGACCATCCAACCACTTACTTTTGCAAAGCTATTTCTAACAATGAATCCGGAGCACAGTTCCTGAAGATTGCTACCGCAAGCCCAATCATCTTCCTAATTTGATGAAGCATGAAGCTCTGCCCTACAACTTCACACTTAACAAAGTCCATACCCCCAACTGTAACTGTGGTGTTTGCATTGAACGAAATGATGTATCGCCAAGCAGCGGGGTCTGCAGCTTTAGTTCTGGTGGTGAAGTTGTGGAAGTTATGAGTCCCCTCATAACAATTCAAGATTCTGTTGAACCGATCCTTCTCCTTCTCACCATAACAAAACTCACTTCCACTTCCCTTCTCTGGCTTTTCTTCTCCATTAGCGTTCTCTTCACCAACACTAACTTTTGTTGTATCATTCAGTGGCTCCGAATTCAAATCAGTATCCTCGGAATCCTCAACCTCAACTCCAGAAACCCCATTGTTATTACTACTAGTGCTAATTTCATTTTTGGGTTCAGATTTGGAATCATCACCACCAGCATTGTCCGGAGAAACCTTCGTTTCTTCATTAAACTCAGACTCAACCATAGACTCATTGGTGTTCGACGAAATGTCTAGCCCAAAACTCGTCCCTCTCAATTCATAATTGCGCTTACCCATCAATCCCCCAACTTTACGCCCTCTCTCGGAGCACTCCAAGCACTTAACAAACTCCTTATCAGACCCAAGACTAGCCAAAACGCTCTCCCTATCGCGATGAGCACTGGGATCAAGAGCAAACACGGGAATGAGATACACATACCTTCTCCGATCACAGAACTTCTTGGCGTTAAACGATGCCGTCACGCGCTTGTAGCCGAAAATCCGAATCTGTGGGGAAATGTTGGAATTGAGGCGATCGACGAAGCCCGGTGGGTCGACATAGAAGCGGCCGGATACAACCTGACCGACGGCGCTTACGCCCTTATCGGTACGGGCGGAGCGGGCCCAATCATAGCGTTTAGGGTTGTTGCGGTCCTGCTCGGGAACCGCGTTGGAGAGGTAAAGGGCTTCTTCGAGGTCGCCCTCGATGGTTTTGGCGCCTGGATTCTTTTGCATGCCTTGGTATCCCACACCGCAATAAGCGAAGAAAATTGCAACCTTTCGACGCTTGTATCTTTGCTTTTTGGTGGTGTCCATGGTCGTGGTTTCATCGTCATCGCTGGTGGTGGTGGTCGACATTTTGAGCTTCTTGGGGTCTGGTTCTTGTGGCGGCGGTGATATAGTTGTTTTTGTATCTGGGTTCTCCATTTTTCAGTGATCTGAGTGGGGCTTGTAGATGTTGGTTGAGGACTCCATTGCACTTAAACAGGCTCTCTAGGCTACTTCAGATTTGCAGTTGGCTATGTACCCTGATAAAACCCTAGAACGAAACCAGTTTTACTTTTTCATTTTTTTGAAGAGCTCAGATCCCCTGCTATATGCATAACTGAGGCAGCGTTCTACCTTGTTCTAGCTCTTTAAGAACGCTTCCACCGCTGCAGTTTGGCCCAGGCAAGAGGGGGCCCAAGCCCGCATCCAGCAGGCTTTAGCAGTAGATGTGGGTCCCAACAAATTGGGCAAATCTAAAGACAAAACGAGCCCGAACTCTTACTGGGGGCAATTGACGTCATCGCATAGACACCTGGATTTTAAATTCTTTTACCGTTACACTCTAACGGTAAAAAAAATTTGAAACTTTCGTTTGCCAACGGACGTGGCTTGTCTGATCGTTATTTGTCCTCCAATCCAACAGCTGCCTTTTTTTTTGTTAAATAAATTGTAAATAAATACCTATCAATATTTTTCACTTTCCACACTAAATCTTTATATATTTTCCTCTCCTTCCAATATTTTTTACTTTTTACACCATTAATATTAAGAATGGATATATATAACTAAATATCTCTTTTTTCTTCTTCTTTATATATCAATATATTAGAAAGAAAGAAAAAGTTTTACTTTTTTCAATTGGAGGGAGGGTTATTCTCACCGTCCAAACCTCCAACACATCATTTTCGGACCCGCGCAATTGCAAAACAGCACACGCATTTGGAGACACCGTTGAATATGAACATTCCCTCCCTCCATCTCTGCACCAATTGTAAACCTCAACAATTCAGATCCGATCCCCATTCACCAAGCACATTTCCTCTTCTTTTTTCTTCGATATTCGAAGTTCCTCGTGTCCTCTGGTTTCCCAATTGAATCGTTTTTCTTTCTGTATACCACAAATTCAATATTCCCTGATCACCTTTTCAAGTTATCGTTGAGCTGTTTGATTCTAATTCAGTGGTCTCCCTCGAATTTTCAACTTTTACTCTGTGCTATATTTATGGGCTAAGGGGCGCAACCACAAACTCAGACCGCGATCGGAAAGCTCTGGTACGTCTCTATTTTCTCCCGTGTCAAATTTTGCTGGCTTTTCGTTCCGTTCTGCGTTCTATTTTCAATGTCACCTAGATTGATTAAGGTCTGTATGAGTAGCTGACGTAACACTTTATATGAAACCATACCGTATCTTTGGAGTTTTGAAATCTTTTTTACATTTTTTTATTTCCAAAATTGATGTATAGACAGGACAAATTATGCTTAATTAATAGGCAGGCATTCGTTCTGTATGACTTTGTTCTTGGAAATTATGGGGAGAAATTAAGGAATCATTTATGGAGCCCATTATCAGCAAGACTTTAATGTTTATGTCCTGTTGTCAAGGTTTTGATGCACTCATGTTGCTCATCCCTGTAGGACAAGTGTTGGTGCGTTATCTTCTGCAATCCTGTGACAAGTTGGGAAACTACATCCAATGAGTTACCGAGGCAATGTATGCATGTCTTCTCAAGCTCTCTCCCGCTCTCTCTCAGACATACACACTCATAAGATTGGGAGACTCGAACAGTTTGTTTCTTCATATTTGAAGATTTGAGCCCACTATGTTCTATATGAATTATGGTGGGCCAATTTCCATGTGGCGCCTTTCTTTTATTTAATCCCTCATTTTGTTGAAATGCAGGATTCAAATGAAAATAGTCAGCAGACTGATATTGGTATGCGTTTTCTTTCACCTGGTGATGCATTCCTTTAATTTTCTCTGACACATTAAGGCTGATCTTACCACGTCAATTGAATTTATAAATTTTTATTATGAACGTTAAGAATTAAACTCTACCTGTTGAGTAGGTATAGCTTAGGCTCTATAGTTGTGTATCTTTTGTTCATATAACTTAGACACTTTCCTGACCTACAGAGTACATAATGATTTGAGGGTATATAGTTTTGTAAAAATTCGATGATAATCAAGACACATGCAATGAAAGCCATCTTGTTATTGATGTTAAAAAATTGAGATTCAATGTTCAGTTCATAAATAAGGGACTAGAGGAAATGGAATAAGGAGGCCTAATGATTCACATTTCCCAGTTACAACTGTACTGGCCGCAGGGTGAAACATAATTCAAGAATCAAGGGCTCTCTTCTATGACTGTTACACTTGGTAGTTTGGTTCATGAAGGATATTTATATTTTCTTCCCTTTCATGACACTAAAAGTATGCTTTCGGATTCATATGCAGGTGCAGCACTACGCAATGGAAGAGAAATCCTTTTTCAGGTAAGTTTGACAGTTTCCATAATAATTAAGATATGTTCAACACCTCATTGTAACTTATTCAATTGTAAAGATGGTAGGATGGTTTTTTTGCATAATGCTATCATAGATCTCAGCTTTGTCAAGCGTATGGTTTGACAGAACTATGTCTACAGGCCTTTAATTGGGAGTCTCATAAACATGATTGGTGGAGAAATTTAGAAAGGAAAGTTCCAGATATAGGAAGATCTGGTTTTACGTCAGCATGGTTGCCACCAGTAACCCATTCCTTCGCACCTGAAGGTTGGATGCAAAATTTGTTAGGCTGGTTTCTAATTCTTTCTGCATATAGAATACAGATGTCTGGATCACCATGTTCGTTGTCTTCTTCTCATATTGTAGGTTACCTTCCGCAGAACCTATATTCCCTCAATTCTAAGTATGGATCTGAGCACCTATTAAAAGGTTTACTTCAGAAAATGAAGCAACATAAGGTTAGACCAATGGCTGACGTAGTCATCAATCATCGTGTTGGAACTACCCAAGGGCATGGTGGAATGTTCAACCGCTACGATGGAATTTCATTGTCATGGGATGAACATGCTGTCACATCTTGTACCGGTGGATTGGTAATGAAATTAATCACTCCTTGACCAACTCTGGATGATCCAAGAGGCAATCTCTAGTACTAACCTCATTGAATTTCTCTGTATTTTATATATCAGGGTAACCGAAGCACTGGGGACAATTTCCATGGAGTTCCAAATATTGATCACACCCAACTTTTTGTTCGAAAAGATATTACAGCATGGCTACAGTGGCTACGTAATAATGTTGGTTTTCAGGATTTTCGATTTGATTTTGCAAGGGGGTAAAAGTTATTCCAACTTGAATTAAGTTTTGTTTTTAATTAAGGTTATTCACTGCTTAGTTTTTTCCATATCTTTTGGGTTTATACATTTTTTACACTTCTTCTTTTTTCCTTGTGTTCTCAATGTTACAACAGTTATTCAGCAAAATATGTGAAAGAATATATTGAAGGAGCAAAACCAATTTTTTCTGTTGGGGAGTATTGGGATTCTTGTAACTACAATGGTCATGGCTTGGATTACAACCAAGGTATTGGATTATATGCTGTAAGAACTTAATACATTTGCACTGCTTGCTTACTAATGTACAAAAGGTAGCTTAGCCCTGTTAATAGCATTCCTTTGGCTTGCTTTTCTCCCCGCTATTTGACTTGTATTGTAACTTAATGGGCATTATATGCTGTCTTAAATGGGTTCAGTGGTCAAATTTCTTTCTCCTTGAGGTTTAGCACTGAGCTTACTGTTTGATCTTTATTGTGATTGATATTGTTATGCAGATAGCCACAGACAGCGGATAATAAATTGGATTGATGGAGCAGGACAGCTATCAACTGCATTTGATTTCACAACCAAGGGAATTCTTCAGGTACCCATCCCTTTATACACACATACCCAATCATTCTCTAGAGTGGGATATGAGTCCCAGCCGACGGTTTAGTGCTCAGTAATTTATACAAACGTTTCAGAAACATTACTGGCGAACCTTTTCTTTTTATAGAAATAGCAATCTTCATCTTTGACCCAAAAAAAAATAGCAATCCATCAATACCCGTTTCAAGTATGTTCAGTCTTCTATATCCATAGCAGTGGTTACCTTTTTCTAAATTTTAATAACGTTCATGCTCATCAAACATGTTATATTAGTTTGTTTTCTATAGTAAGGAAATCTCTCCTTTTTTCTTATCTTGTCCCCCCTTTCTTAGTTTGGTGTTTGAAAATTTACACATGCATTCTATGTAGGAAGCTGTTAAGGGACAATTGTGGCGCCTACGTGACTCCCAAGGGAAGCCACCAGGTGTAATTGGATGGTGGCCTTCAAGAGCTGTCACATTCCTAGATAACCATGATACAGGCTCAACACAGGTATGATATACTTCTCTGTTCTGCAGAAGTCAACTGAAATGTTTTCTCCGGAACTGCTGAAGTACATATCTGCCAAGGTTGAATTCAGCCTACAATCGTTTGGGCTGAACAAATCAAGTTTGAGCTCAACTGTTTAAGCCTAACCGACACTGACCAATTATCCTACACAATATAACAACTACATTTTCTTTGCATAAAAAGTGTATCACGTTTATGTTACCGGGTACCTGTCTTTTCAGAAATTGAGCTTTTGGTCCCATAGTAAAAGTTAGAAATCCACTCACATGATAATCATTTTGTCTCGCAGGCTCATTGGCCCTTCCCTTCAAATCATATTATGGAGGTATGAAAATTTGTTTATTAAGTTGAAATGTTTTGCATTTAGATGGGAAATCCATATCAGAAAGTGTTGTTAAGTGCATGCTTTCTGCAGGGTTATGCATATATACTCACGCACCCAGGAATACCGTCAGTTTTCTACGATCATTTCTATGATTGGGGTGACTCCATTCATGATCAGATTGTGAAACTGGTATGCAGTATAGATTGTTAGATGGTTCCTTTTTTGACTCGGCGTCTTTGAGCCAAAATTCCTCATGTGTTAGCATTTGAACTTGTGTGCAGATTGACATCAGGAAGCATCAAGACATTCATAGCCGCTCATCTATAAGGATCCTGGAGGCCCAGCCGAACCTCTACTCTGCTATAATAGGAGAGAAAGTGTGCATGAAAATTGGGGATAGTTCATGGTGCCCAACCGGTAGGGAGTGGACACTGGCAACCTGTGGCCACAGATATGCTATTTGGCACAAGTAAATTAGAGAGTTTCCATATATAGGCTATACAATGCAACTAAATAAGATTTCTGCGTGCGGGGATGCGCTGGGGAGATAATTGGTGGTA